GATACAGCAGCTCTCCTATCAGTCCGGCTCCAAGATGTGCCCATATCCTGTGCATTCTTAAAGACACGAAGGCTGTCCCGATTAAATGACACCGTGACATCCACAATGTGAAGGAAGGCCTTCTGCTCTGGTATAATCTGACTAACCAAATAACAATGCACATGATGTATAAATAATAAAACCTATCAGGTACAAGCTCTGCTTTTATTCCGATTCACAAACCAAAGCGGATTTTCATTCATTCCGGTTTATGCATTTTTATATAAATCATAAAGCACTAAGATCTGAGTGGCCCATTTAAGAATGGAGTGCCTTCTGGTTGTTTAGTCTTATAAGAACAAACAGGCTTTAATTGGCTCAGTTTTTTTATGTTTTGACACCTATCCAGTCCGTCTGTTGGGTCACATAAGAGCAATCTGTAGTTGAATCGCTGATGTATTTAAGCAGCACTGAGGTCCATCCTTCTTCACATGTTCTAAGTTAGATGATACTCAAATAGCCACCCCTTGTTCTTCTGGATTGTTGTAGCCCCCCCTCCTTTGTTCAGTCATGGTTTTCCTCTTTTCACAATGGCTTCCTTGACCCTTCTTTCAAACCATCTGTCCTCCCTGTCCAAAACACTTTGGTCTTCAAAGTTGTCTCCTTTATGTTTGAGGTGTAAGTGTACAGCTGAACCTTTCCCAGAGCTACTGGATCTCTTGTGCTGTACCATGCATTTGTGTAACTGTTGTTGGTTTCTCCAATGTAGGAGGCTTTACAGTCCTCACTGCACTGACTTGCATATACAATTTCTTTTTTCCAGCTTTTATTGTCATTACACTGTCACAAGTACAGAACAACGTAATTAAATCTCTGCATTTAACCCATCCCTTTGGGGAGAAGTGGGCTGCCATTGTGCGGCGCCCGGGGAGCAGTGAGGGGTTAAGGGTATTTTTGCTCAGGGAGCCAGAACTGCAGTCTGTGGGAGTTGGGCTTGAACTCAGAACCTCTGGATTCCAGGGGTAATGCTCTAACCATTAGGTCACCACTCCCCCCTTTATTTTATTTTATTTTTTAATTTATACAATACTTCAATTTAAGCTTGTTTGGGGTTGCCATGACCCGGATGACTGAGAATTTACACAGGTAAGTTATTCGTTTGTAAGCTGTGGCAAGTTAATAAATACTCTGTACAATCACACACATTCATTTTAGATGCTTACTGACCCGATTCATCTTGACGATGATGCAGGGTTGCCCTTCAGCGTACCCAAAGCTGGTGTCTGGCAGTCCGGAGCACAGACGCAGTGCGCTGCGTTTAAACTGACAAACCTTCTTTTTAGGTTGTTCATCCTGATCAGTGTATTCCCCTACCATACACAAGTCATTCCCCTCCTGGATGCTGTCGTTGTACTCTGTAAAGAAGCACATATGCTTTTGTTTCAAGTAATTCAAATACAATGAATTCTTATCCTGAACCAAACAGACTTAATGCATGGTCTCTGCAGCAGATAGAGGCTTCAGATCCGGTGCTCTAAAACATGCTACATTGGTGCACCCATGTTTGACTCACTCTGCAGAAAGTCATGCAGCTGTTGGACATACGGGTTGTACTTCGTTGGATCAGAACGGTTGTAGGAAATCTCAAAACCAAGAGGACGGACAACCAATCCTGAAATTAGCCAAAGTAGTGATTAAACAGTGGAAATATAAAGTAACGTATCTCTTAGCTAGCATTGATGGAGGGAGGGAGATCAGACTAACCTGGGTTGGCCAGTCGGTCCTGGTGCCTTGGAACATTATCATCTAGTGTCTGTAGCATCACCCACATGGTGAGGGTAAACATTCCCGCCAGGAAGCCATAAAAGATGAGGTAGAAGAGGAAGATCAGACCTGGAAGGAAAACCAGACATGTCTTGGTTTACATCTGCAGAAACAAGCATGATATCAGTCAGTCTTGTATCCTTGGTTTGGTCAAAGCAGCTCATTCCAATGGTCTTTAGGATAATTAAGGTGCAGACATTAAAGTATTCCAGCCTGTAGCAATTGCCCGTAGATTAAAAAAAAAACATTGACAGTAAATAA